ACAGCCTTCGGGTGAGCACGCCTTGGGTGAACAGCCTTCGGGTGAGCGTGAATCAGGTGAACAGCCTTCGGGTGAGCACACCTTGGGTGAGCAGCCTTCAGGTGAACAGCCTTCGGGTGAGCATGCCTCCGGTGAACAGACTTCCGGTGAGCACGCCGCGGGTGAACAGCCTTCGGGTGAGCAGTCTTTGGGTGAGCATGCTTTGAGTGAAAAGACTTCAGGGGAACAGTCTTCAGGTGCAACAATTTCAAGCACAACTATAGGTGAGCCACATTTGGATGGGTGCCAGTCATTGACTGCAGGTGGGAAATGGGGAATACATCAAGAACACCCAACTTTAGGGATGGAGTACAGAAGAAAGAATTGTTAACACTTCACCAATAGCTCTCTCACCTGACTTTCAAGTTGTCTTCACCATCATACCAAGAGGCAGGACCTAAGTTTTGTGAGCAGTTTTGCCATCTCTAATGCTAAACAATTTGGAGGGCCCTCTTTAAGAAAAATAAATACAAAATGCCAGTACCCCTCCAACTTCACTCTCCATAAGAAATTATGAACACAGCCCTTCCAACTTCCTTAGAAGGGGCTCGTGGAAGTGAAGAGTTCTGAAGACTAACCTTCATTAGCTTTATGCTAAACCTGCCTCTTAACAAACCATGTTAGAATGCTATAACTTCACAAATTCTGTAAAGAGATGTGTGCAGCTGGTGGTTTTATTTGAAAATGGAATGTAAAGCTTTTTTCTGTTAGATCCAGAAATAAGTTCCTAAGCCAACTGCTAGTCTGTGGCTCCTAATTAAAAGTGTTTATTCAGGGAAGGAAAACAAGACCCAAAATTTGATGCCTCCAGTTATTACCAGACATAGTTCACATTTCATTCCATTGTATAAGCATCATTATTATAAATTTTCAGATGAAAGAAGTGAGGCAAATGGAATATGTCCAATGTCACATGGCTAGAAAGCGGTAAACCTTGGATTTAAACTTGGGACTGTGCAAAGTCCATAATCTTTCCACTTCTTTATGCTTCCCAAACTGGGGGATTAGCAGTAGAGATAGCAGAGGCAACATGGAAGTATTCCAAAGTGTTATTAGTGATCTTCGATAAGATTGATTTGAAAATGGAGGACACAGACCCTTCACAGGGTTTGCAATGTTAGAGCACTCTAACATAGCTTATTAATTGGTCGAATATGATTCCAAGTGTTTGTGCCTTGTGGGTGAGAGTATGATGGGGAGTACAAAAGGGAGATGAAAATCATACATACATTTTGCTCCTATGGTGTCACATGACAGGAGGGCATCTAAAGATAAATGTCCAGGAAATCAGTTGGGATATGGACTGGAGTAAAAACATCAGAGAAATTTAGGAGTCATCAGCAATGAGGGTCAGAGATGAAGAATGAAGGAATTTCCTCTGGCACATGTTTATCAAACACAGGGCCCTCAGATCCCCAAAGAGAACTAAGAAATGAATGTGTAGTATCCATGTTACCTATTGTCCATCACCCCTCCCAGAGGTGACTCAAGGTTACACAGCTGGTCCAAAAGGAAATGTCATCACATTTATCTTAAATTTTCAGGCATAATATTAAATTGCTACGCATGTGCTTATATGAATGATCAAGGAAAATGTCTTCGTGGAGAGGGAATCTGCACCACTCAGAATTCCCAGCAGTGCATGTTAAAGAAGATCTTTGAAGGTATATGGGGACTTCATGAGGCAATCTATGCCTGAGAACACATCAACTTACTAATGATAGGGGGCAGTTGGAGTGGCAGGGGCCCAGGAAAGAATCAAAGAACTTGAAGATTCAGAACTTTATTCTTTCAAGGACCAAGAACAGAATACCTGGCCGAGTGAGGTGGCTCACACCTGTAATCTCAGCACTTTGGGAGGCCAAGGCGGGTGGATCCCTTGAAGTCAGGAGTTCCAGGCTAGCCTGACCAACAGGCTGTTTCTAAAAATACAAAAATTAGCTAGGCGTGGAGGTGCACACCTGTAATATCAGCTATTCAGGAGGCTGAGGTAGGAGAATTGCTTGAATCCAGGAGGCGAAGGTTGCAGTGAGCCGAGATTGTGCCACTGCACAACTCCAGCCTAGGTGGCAGAGTGAGACTCTGTCTCAAAAAAAAAAAAAAAAAAAGAAAGAGGGTGTAGTCAATAGTATCATGTGCAAGCAAAGAGTTAAAAAAATTCCTCAGAAAAGGCTGCAGATTGTTGAGTAGGTTTCTATGACCTTTGAGAGAGAAGTTTCAGCATAGTAGGGTTATGATTCAGGGTGTGAGGGGCCAAGATGTGAATGGAGAGGAAGTGAAGGTGAGGAGGATAGGCAGACTCTGGAAAGGTTGTAGGGAAAGAAAGGATAGTGCTAGGAGAGTAGCATAATTAAGAGAAAGTATTTTAAATTTAGGGGAACTTGAGCATCCTTGTAAACCAAAAAGGAGTGTGTAGAAAGAGATTGACCATATAAGAAAGGAAAAGGCAACTGATGGGGGGGCAAGATCCCAGAGGAAGCAAAGAGAAGAGAAAGAGAAGGGATAATGTACAAGTGGAGGTCTTGGCCATCCTGCATGGGGACACTGAGGATCACAGATAAAGGCTAAGGTTGGAGGATGAAGCTTTCTGCTCACTAGTCTGTCTCTGCTCCTTTTAGGTGGAAAACTCCAGTTCATGGTTCAAGGGTGTGAGAACATGTGTCCATCTATGAAACTCTTCTCCCATGGAACCAGGATGCAAATTATATGCTGTAGGAATCAATCTTTCTGCAACAAGATCTAGAAACCTGGGCCCTTGCTTCTTATTTTGACTCAGGCAGCAAAAAGCCTCCATCACTCTGTTTGGTTCATTTTATATTTAGTTCTTTTCCCAGTCAACAACTGACCACATCTGCCTCTGCTTGAGCATTAGGACGCGCAAACATCCTATCTTTCTTCCCCTATTCATGCTTTTATCCATTCTTCTCTGTCCTGTCTCCCCTACTCCAACTCTGTATCTCAATATTCCTGATGTTTTTTTCAATAAATTTCACATAGTTCAAGAACATAGGCTCAAGATACTTTTTTTTTCCATCAATCTAGTTGCAGGGTCAACATGAGCTTTCTTCCACTCTGACGCTAAAGTGGGTTTATTTTGTAAGCATTCCATATTTATGAAGGAGTCTCCAAGGGCAGAGACAACAAAGAGGAATGCAAAGTAGGTATTAATCTTTTAAAGAGGTGTAAACAACATTGCAGATACTTCTGACACCCCCACTTTTTCATCCCTGTATTCCCCCACACTCTTCCATTTCTTATAGCATATAAAACTCAACTTTTCTTTAGCTCTTGAGTTTCCAGTCTTTAGTAGGCCACTATTAACATAATGATAATAGTAAAATGATTTATTATTTGCTATATATTACAGCAGTTCCTAATGCTTAAATCAATTTTCACACACAATGTTACTTAATCATCTACTCAGGATAGGAGGGCAAATGGAAATACTAAATAGTCCCTCAACCTATGTAAGTATTATGTTCTTCAAGGTGTTTCACATACATGGTCTCATCTAATCCTCAGGAAAGAGCCCAGAAGGGTAGACAGGAAAGATGGCATCCTCCTTTTTTTACAAATAAGGAAAGGTGACACGGAGATGTTTTCTTTATTCACACTCCATGTTGTTCCAAATTTACCAAGGTTACAGAAGTAGTGAGAGCTATAGGCAGATTCTGAAACCAGATCTGCATAAGCTAAATCTGAGCTGTTTCCACCATACTGATAGTAGCCAGAATGGTTCTAAGAACTCTTAGAATAGTACAACAGTAAGTCAATTTTACTGCATATAAAATTTAAAATTTCAACATATGTACACATCATGGCCCCTCCCCTAAAATATATTGGTAACAAGTTCTTCACTGAAAATGGAACATCTTCCAATTTCTGAATGAAATGAAACTGGAAACCATCATTCTCAGCAAACTGACACAAGAACAGAAAACCAAGCATCGCATGTTCTCACTGTTACATATACATTCAAGAACCTAAAGGAAATAAGTGGGTGTTGAACAATGAGAACACATGGACACAGGGAGAGGAGTATCACACACTGGGGCCTTGGGGGTGCGGAGCAAGGGGAGGAATAGCAGGGGGTGGGGGGATTGGAAAGGGATAGCATTAGGAGCAATAATGTAGATGACGGGGTGATGGATGCAGCAAACCACCACCATGGCACATGTAAACCTATGTAACAAACCTGCACAATCTGTACATGTACCTTAGAACTTAAAGTACAATAAATTTTAAAACAAAGAAAATTTATTTTGAACATATAATCATATCCCTAGTAAAACAGAACAGAAAAATAAAATCCCCAAACCAGGAACTAAATTCCCAAATGAATTTTTAACTTGGTCAGAAGACAAATGAAAGCCTGCTGACATTGTCAACACTGTTTTTTTTTTTTTTTTTTTTTTTTTTTTTTGAAGGGAGAAGATAAATAGTAATCTATTAGGTGTAGGTGTTGAGGGAAAAATATAAGTTCAAATATGTTGTTAAAATTTATGGAGCCAGGCATGATGGCTCACACCTGTAATCCCAGTGCTTTGGGAGGCTGAGGTGGGAAAATCATTTGAGACCAGGAGTTTGAGACCAGCCTAGGCAACACAGCAAGACCCCATCTCTACAAAAAGTTAAAAAACTAGCTGGGTATGATGACTCATATCTATTGGCCTACTTACTTAAGAGGCTAAGGTGGGATAATCACTTGAGCTCAGGAGTTCAAAGACATACTGGGCAACACAGTGAGACCCATCTTGAAAAAAAATTTAAGGGTGGGGAAATTCTGGCTTTCATTTATTGTGAAAGAATTTAAAGTCACCTCTTACAGATAACAATTGTATGTTCTGGACAAAATATAAAAAACGATTTGAAAGCTCCTCCAAAGGAACTGAAGAGAAGTCACCACTAAAAAGAGAGATTTCTGAGTTTATGCTTGAGGGTACTTCTCAATCCATGCTTCATAGGCTGGCAAAAAGCCACAGGCTCATTGGTTTGAGGTTTCAGAGAACATAGGTTGGGGCTAGCAGAGCAGCTGCAAAATTAGGGGGTACTCCTGAAAAGAAGAGAACCATAGAGAAGCTCCCTCTGACCAAATTCTTGTTTGGTCACTGACTCCAGGAGGCTCAAAAAGAACATCTGAAAGCTGAAAAAACAGGACAGAGATTTTAGCTTCTGTCCACAATGAAGGCTACAGACCTAATCGAACAAAAGTCAACACTCTTTAGAGGAACATATAGAGTCCACAATCTCTACAATTCCTCATTTACTATGTCTACTGTGTAATAAAAAATTACTAGAAAAAGCAGGGAACTGTGACCCATAGCCAAGAAAAAAAAAGCAGTCTATTGGAATAAAGTGAACAAAGGCAATAAACAGCTACTACAGATATGTTCAAGAACCTAAAGGAAAATAGTGCCATATGAATAAACAGACAATTAGTCTTAACATAGATACTGAAATTATAAAAATGAACCCATGGAAATTACTGTATTTACTGTACTAAGAAGTGCAATAATTGAAAAAAATCTCTACATGGTTTAATAGCATAGTGGAGACCATGTTGAGTCACCAAATTTGAAGAAAGATCAATAGTAATTGTCAAATATGAAGCCCAGAGAAAAAGAATTAAAGAAAATAAAGCTTCAATGAATTGTGGAACATAACAAATAATACGTAAGATACTGGAGTCAAGAATAGGAATGAGATGACGTAGAAAAAGCATTTAAATAAATAATAAATTTTGCCAAATTGGGTGAAAAACATAAACTTATAAATCTAAGAAGCTCAATGAACCCAAGGCAGGATAAATACAAAGAAATATACCTAGGCACATAATAAGCAAATTACTGAAATTCAAAGACAGAGAAAAATTCAAAACTGGTCTAAAGAAAAGATATATTACATATAGGGGAACACTGATACAAATGTTGACTGACTTGTCATCAGAAACAATGGAGAGTAGAAAACAAGAGAAGATACTTCCAAATAATGAAAGGAAAATACTGGCGGCAGAATGTTATCTCCAAGACAATAACCCTTCAAAAGCGAAGAGAACACATTTTCATATAAACCAAAGCTAAGAGAAATTATAACCAGTAGGCCTATACAACAAGTTAAAAGAACTTCAGGCTAAAGAGAAATGACACCACATGGAAATTGTGACCTACAGGAAAAAATGAACAACAGAGTGAGACCTGGACAACAGAGTGAGACCTTTTCTAA